CTCAGGCTTTCTTCGATCTCTTCGATTGTTCTTCCCTGCGAATGGAACTCCCCCATCATCCTATCCTGGGCACAAAAAAGCGCAACCCAATGATCAGTCCAAGAGAAGAAAAACTCGTGCAAGTAATAAAGAACATACCATAGCGGAATTCCATGGCATGGTTTTGAGCAGTTCATCGAAGAGTTGCGTGCCGCCGAGATGGTCGACGACCCAGTTATCGCTGTCGCAGTCGATGATGGTCTTGTCGAAGTCGAACACCACAACGACGTTGGCCATGGCAGTGGCAATGGCAATGGCAATGCACAGAAATGCGAGGTGCGAGGCAGTATTTATAGGAAACAATATATGCCAATGGAATGTTGTAGTTAATGGCCTCCACAGCACCTTTATACGAGTTTGGTTAGTGGGATGGATGTTGCAATAAACTTCCACAATATTCCGACTCAAATACTCCGAGAAGCCACCGATCGAAACGTCTGGTTCCAATGTCGGTGGCTGCTTGGCAAATTGAAGGCATAGGATGACAACATCGATCAAGCATATGGAATTTTTCTCGAGATGTTCTCCCTCAACTAAGCGGATGATATATTCCTGGCGTGGGGAATGTCCTTTGTCTTACGCAAGATAATGCTGTACTTAAAATTCTTCTTCCTTTTCTTTTCTCAAAAAAGGATATACTTGTATATATTAGCTCAAACAGAGTAGAGAGCATAGGCCATCTGAGCATACTTAATGTGTGTATGTATGTTGTGAAGGAAAATACTTATCCTTTTAGGGCTCATACGTTCTACGTGACAAACGAGTCATGCAGGGCACATGATGGAAGGTTCTTATCTTGATAAGATGAAATATTGGTTACTTGCATTAATAATAAATGGAAGAAATTAGGACACCAACTTACATGGAAAGCTTAGATCCCATGCAGCTATATTTGGTGTTGCGTCATGAGTAGGCTAATTATATAATACCTTATATGTTTTGGATGCTATTAAAACTATAATTTTTGTACTTCAAAAAATTATATTAAAATTTTTATAATTTGAAAGTGAAATAAATAACCTCATTTGTTATTGACGAAAAATATTATATATGATACTACGGATCGGTACAAAAGTGATGGACAAAAAAATAATTTCAATATCTCTTTCGTTTTTAAGTTATTTTTTTATCAGTAAAATTATTGAAAACATAAGAATATTAAAATTATCTTTTTTATCCGATCCATCCGCTTGATGTCACGTGTCGTGTCTTAGAACACGTAATGTTTTAGCATAAATAATTTTATTTATCCTATTGTCTCACGATAGGATAAATATAGTTATTTATTTTATTTTTAAAATTATAGGGATCTTAGTATAAATTTTTAAGTATAAAAATTATGATATTAATAAAATCAAAATATAAGGATGATATATAATTATTCCATCTAAAACTTAAGATATTATATAGTATTGTTTTAGAGGCTATATAATATTATATAATAAATGTATTTTGATTCTAGTATTTGTAATTTTTCAACCTATTACTTGGACAGTGTAATAATGAAGTCAGGAGGCTTCCTTATTCCAAAGCACAACTGTATCTCACGTACGCTCACTCGTGCGCTTCCAAGATATTTTCTCCCTGCTGACGGTGGACCTCGCGCACGGCCACCTGCAACTTGGGATCACAATCTTGGTTAGATTCGTCGAGGCCGGCGTCCTCACCTCTCCGTAATCCACTGCCGCTTCCTTTGTGTTTCTCCGCCCTCCACCTCGCCTGGTCTTGGATCTCTCCAGCCAAAGCAAAGGGGAAGAAGGAAGGATGGGCGCAGTAGTGAAGAAGGGATGGGAGCGGTACATGCTTCAACTCCAACTGCACCCTCTGAGAACCAAAGTTCGGACTTTTTATCTTTTACTCTCCGCTTCAAAGCACGTTGTGTTCTTTCTTCTATTGATCGTCGATGGGCTGTAGGCGATCACGGCCGGCGTTTTGGCGGGGATCAGTGATTCGGTGGCGCAGAAGCTTTCGGGCATCCCCAGGCTGCAGCTGAGGCGGCTCCTCGTCAAAGTGGTACTGTTGACTGACTCTGCTTGATGGTTTTGGTTGGATTTGTCCACCTTTTGTGTTCGGTTTCATGGCTGATCTGATCTCTGAGAAATATGCGTGCGTTTTGCTGATTTAAGTTTCAGAAATTTGTTCTACGAGAAATAGTTTAGATTCGTCCTCGACGCGGCAAAATTAGGCTCCGGCTCCTTCGATTCGTCACTAACAAGACCATCAAGCGCCATGGTTTCTGGTTCTTCTTGACTGTAGATTTTGGTGATTTCCTTTATGTCGGAGAAGCAAACTTTAGTTGACAACCATGCGATCGGTACAACCCAATTGAAGCACACAGTACTAACAAAATCTACCTGTACATTTTACTCAAAGCTGTTTGAAATGTTCGCATGGCTCCGAGCTAGCTTGTTCACTTCGTAGCTGCAGTATACTCGATGTCGTCGTCACCAACTTTTGTGTTAAATGGAAATTTTCTCTTTTATATTTTCTTCATGGCTCATTTTTTGTTTTCCATGCTGAAATCCGTCACTTGTTCACATAATTCCCCCATGACACTTTCCCTTATCATGTACTTCAGCTCTTTGGCTTTGCCTATGGTGGACCTTTTGGGCACTTCTTGCACAAGCTGTTGGAGATCATTTTCAAGGGAAAGAAAGATTCCAAAACGGTAGCTAAGAAGGTATTCTTATGCATCTAGTTTCATGTCTATCAGCTTCCTCCTTTTCTTGAAGGTAGCAATCGACTTATATCCGGAAGATGTTGCAGCTTATGTGAACTGTCGTTGTGTTTTACATAAGTTTTGATGGTCAGAGATTTTAGTCTATATTGTGCAAAGTATAAAATTATATAACTTATGATAATATTCATGTATTATTAGATGTTGTCTCCATGCTGTATCATATCCTACTTTTATAAATTGTGTTATATAGAACATTTGTTTCATGTTATGTTTGAGTTCTTTGTCCATATGCTTGTTTTGTAATCTTTTGAGAATGGAAAGCATGTATTCTGAATTCTTAAATCATTAGGTCATCCTATACTTAGAAATGGCTTTGTTCTTATGAAATTATCAATTTCGTGATATTTTGTTCGGGTGCTACTATTGGAACATATGACATCTTCATAACTTAAATATGGCTCTGTTCTTACGAAATTATCAATTTCATGATTTTTCTTTCAGGTGCTATTGGAACAGATGACATCTTCTCCTTGGAACAATTTTCTTTTCTTGATATTTTATGGCTTGATTGTTGAGAGTAAGTTTCCTTAAACCAGTAACATTAAATGAAGATAAACTCTGCGGCGATGGCTATCTTATATGCTGACATGACTTCATTTACTTGCTTTTGTTAGCGAATGAAACTCTTCTCTGTAAGTTCGTTTGTGGATCGCTGATTTTTTATGTTTAATCTTCATTTGTGATTCTGTTGTTTAATTGAACCTTTGTATATCTTCAGCAGCTAGCATGAAGGATGGAATTCACAAATGGTCTATCCTTTTGTTCTCTACTATAATAAATATAATTTTTAGAGTTTGAAACTACCCAAATCACAATTTTTATATCTCTAGATTTGATCGAAAAGTTTATATAAGAGAATGAGAGTGGATATGATCCAAGCTACTGTTTGGTGATTGAAGATATGTTCTAATTGTGATCTGAATGAAGGTTTCTTACTATATGAATGGTTCAAATTTAACAGCTCTGTTTTCATGCCAACCATGGACATGAACTGCTTCTTTTATTAATGCAAATAAGAGTTCCTCTTTTTAATCTCAACCACCCATCTTATTAATGGTGAATTTGGTGAATAAAGTGGCTACACTTTGGCTTTCCGACTTGATTTATGGCGAAAAACTGAAATAATGTCAACTGGGTCTGTCGCAACTAAGTACGATAAACATCATAAGTATTCTTCACAGAAGATCTTCGTCTCCCTCCACTCATAGTTGCCTATGATGAGTGCCCATGAAAGTTTTTGATAGCGACACAGATTGTTAATTCTCGCCTAGTTGGTGGAGTCTGAGAGTTAAAAGTAACTAGGACAGATTAGCGCTTCTTGTTCCCAAGTGTCTTGCCGATGTACGTCATACCATATGCATCATCGGAACTGATTTGAACTTTTATTGCCCGTAGGAAGGCCTTGGCCACAGGTCAAGGACAAAGTTAAAAAGGATTACCCCTCAGTGCAGTTGACTTCATGGATGGTGCGTAAGATGATGTCTTCTCTGGTCTGAGTTGTGGGTTTTCTAGCGTTTGCTCAACTCAAAACTATATATTGACTGATCGTTATGTTTTGCAGTTCTGGCCAGCAGTAGGGTGGGTAAATCATCGGTATATGCCGCTACAGTTCCGTGTTATATTCCATAGCTTTGTGGCATGTTGCTGGTATCATTTTAGTCCCGTTTGACATTCTCATTTACATTTTATCCTCATCATTTTTTTTTTCCTGATACTACAATGTTTATATGTGGTCGTTGCAATCCACAGGGGAATATTTTTGAACCTTAGAGCGAGGACTAAGGCGTTGCCTAAATGATGGAAGGAAATATAGGCGCAAGGAGGGGATTCATTCGAAAAAGCAAAAAAGGTCAATTATGTTTGATCAAGACTTGAATTATATGATTCATAGCTCGGCGAAGGCTCTATTCTCGAAACGACAAAATATATCTTTGCCTCTTTGAAGTTTTAGCATTCCATATTCATACCTCTCGAAAGAAATATATCTTTTGAGTTGCACATTTGAAACTTCAAAAGTACCATATACATAGATAGCCATGAAGCATATATTCTGTATATCTTCTCTTGCCACAGGGGTGAATGTAATATTTGAATTGATTAGGCATTATCTGTGATTTTAAATTGAAGAGATGACTGACTGGCCTCTTCTCTCTCTTTTTTGTCTTTTCAGAAGGCCAAGTTATCCTGCTTGGTTACAGCAACGTTTCCGGTTAGCACTTGTTTGTTGGCTGTGGTTCCTCCTTACAGAGGGAAAATGCCGAATGATTAGATAGATCTGCATAGAACTTGGCGGTAAATGCTGTCGGAGAGGGAGCCAATCCCCAGTTGCTCGTAAGGAGTTGGAGTTAGGCTTTCGCTTCCGGTGAACTCTTGGCGAGGAACACCAATATTTGCAGCCAACGTTGGCTGTTCACATGCTGATTACGAGTATAGCAAGTCGCTGGGTGACTCAGTTCGGCATATAGCAAGTCCACTAGCCTTTATGTATGGGATCCCATCCGATTCTACAAGAGAAGTGCTACACCTAAGAAAAGGCCAACTCGTTTTAGAACAGCTTCCCGGCAAACTCCTTGATATCTTCATCTTTACAAGCAGCAGCATAGGGCACAAAGTCTCCGAACTCCGAGAGGCTCCTTCCGAGTTGCAAAGCCAGCTTCAACTTGAATAACTCCCCATTCTCCCTCTTCTCCAAATCTTCCTCCCCCAAATTGGATTCGATTTCCTCTTGCAGCCACCTGTAGAAGCCGGCATTGTTCCGGAACAGCTCGAACACCATCCCTACCTGCCCCGCATGCTCCAAGGTGTTCGCCACGGTCGCCAACGACCCTCCGGCCACCGCAAGCAATGCTGGCAGTGGCCCCAGCGCCGAAACACCTAATAAACCAGATCCGATGGTAGCTAGGCCAGCGAATATAGGTCCTGCTGCAGCTAACGTCTTGTTGATGTTCAAGACCACCTTCCCCAGTCTCACATATTGTTCCTCATCTTTCAGCTTTAGAACTTTGAGAAGACCCCTCATCTCTTCTTCCACTTCTTTGCTCCAACCATTCCTTTCTACGCCATTAATCGTACGCCTCTGATGTGTTCCTGGTCGCCTTTGTCGTAGTTTAGGCCACCAACAAGCAGGATCAACCTTCTTCGGGAACTTCTCGAGCATTCCAGGGAGCAAAGGCAGGGGATAAGCCTTCTCGAGAGCGAGCACCTTGTTCATGGCGTCCATGACATCCAACTCGGTTGGAGCTCGCAGTGCGAGAGTGTCTTGGATCGATCGCTCCAGTTGCTTCCACATCCACGTTGCTTTTCTTTGTTCTTCAGCTAGCTGGGAAGGCTGAACCTTGTTGACGATCAGCATCATTCCGGTCGCGGTGCTGAATAAGAGCACGGACGCTACCTTGAGCGGTAGTAGCTGCGGTGTTGCTTCTCCTACCGGTATCGATGAGATTCCTGCCAAGAGCGATCCGATGAGAGTGATAGAGTTGATGGAGTTCGTAAGGAGGTGATTCCAATTGTCTCTCTGTGCTCCGATGATGGCATGCATGTTGGCTCTATCAGCAACCGCCTCGGCTATGGCAAGAAGCTCGCTGACCACAAAATCCTTGTCCTCGTTACCTGGCACGGTTTGTGTCGGTGCCTCCGTGGCGGCAGTGTGCTCTCGTCTCAGGATGAAGCCCTCAACCGTGATCTTCTTTGACAGCTTTTGATGGTAGACGCTTTTCGCTCTGAAATTGGAGGAGGGATACAGGCTCGCGTGAAATCTTCGATCAGATGATGATGATTTAGATGGCTGCAAGATCTGGAATTGGAGAGCTGCCATGTCTGAACCTCTCTGTGTTTGTGTTTTGAAATGTCTTCAAGGATCGAGGAAGAAGCAGATGCAGACTTGAAAGAAATGGAAATAAGAACTTGTTGGACCGGGTTGCGATGAAACGGGATGGCTGCATTTCACACATATAAGCGATCGGGGATCATTGTCGGCTGACTGCAGGTTAGACCTCAAACCATCGAATTCGGAGAAGCCTGAACGAAGATGAATTAGTCAAAGTCGTTGGGTTTCACAGTTTGACTACGTAAACGGTTGACTTCTTCTCCACATTCTGTTCATCGAATAACTAACTTAGATTCCAACACGGGGAGACGTCGAAGCGTAAAAGAGAATCTCAAGTGTGAACTCCTACTATTTCCACTGTTACACCCTACCATTTTTCCACCTCTTCATACTGTTGACTTCTCATTCACGGGGTCCGAGTCCAACCGTCTTTTTCTCCTTCCTTCCTCGGAGGGCCTATTTGGTGGTATCCCACTTGGTTGCATGTATCATACATAGTATATAGTAAGCTTTTCTCCAAATCGTTAGTGATCGAGTCTGACTTCGCATGAAACACTGTTAGAATATAGAGCAAATCGGACTCTTCCCTTTGAATCGAGTGAACCAACTGTTATTAACTTAAAATATTGAAGAAGTCTTTAAACACAAACAGTGAATCGTACAGTATAATTTCTGAAACTTATATTCGGCGAGGAATCTTATTCACGAATTATAGGGTCGCTGTTCCATCTCTTCGTCGAAACCAAATGCTTCAGCTTCGTTCACCTCGAGATGGCTCCTCACAGGTTGCAGGCTGCCTTCATCCTCCAAGTATTAAGCTTACTGACTCGGTAAAGATGCGTGAGTTTGGTGACGCTTGTGACACGGCCTCTGTATAGATATATGCCGGTTGCTTCAGTCGGCTGCATGTCCTCCGTGCCGCATATGTTGCTCAGCCTTTCGAGGAGGATCAACGGTGACACAATGCTTGTCATGCGTTTGCATTTCCTCTTTTGTTTACCTTGCAGATTACTCGTTCCCACGTTCTGGTCAACAACGAGACGAGAAGCGGATGGTGACGAGAAGAGGGGGCCTCAAAATGTTGTTCGGATGAACTTCTCCTATGCTGGTGTCGTGTTGTTGGAGATGAGGGGGAAATATTATGACCTGCAACCCTCTTGATCAACCACAGGACCTAAATCCATGACTTGGTGTTTTGGGCTTGTACTAACTACAAGGCAGGAAAACCCACTTCTCCGATCAAATCACAGAGAGAGAAACCTACTTGATGTAACTATAGCCTTCGGTCACATGCCGTGGTAGAAGGGGAAGGGCATACTTCTTCTTTAGCGCTGATCACCCAAAGAAAAAACAAAGACCTACCATAAATAGTCTTGAAAAAGGATGGATGCCTGATGAACTCTGGACTCCGTTGTTCTCTTGCTTGTTGTCGAGTAAGCGAGGAGAAGTCCATCGCTTGTAGTCCTCCTATGAGGATGGTCACCCGCTTCCTTTTTTGGGCTGAAGAAGAGAAGTCTTCCTACGAGCATTGCGTAACAGTGGGGAAGAGCCATCAGATTGAGCCTGCTTGGAAGGGGGAGAGCCATTATACACCTCGTGAGGGAGAACAACCTTCGAAGGTGCTGCTGGCCGAGCAGGGGCCGAAGGCATTGGCCGAAGGTGTCGGTGTACCAGAAGAGGGAAAACTAGCAGAAGGAACCTCCGGAGGAGGACCTTTGAGAACCGAGGAAGAAGCGTTTAAACCAGTGGGATCGGGAGGTTGGCTAGGATTAACGGGAGGCGAAGATCGAGAATTAGTGGACAGGGCAGTCAATCGAGGTGAGGTAATGAAGGAGGAAGGCGATGGGTTCCCCCCATAGCCTCGGAAATGGCCCAGAGCTTCTCTCTCTTCCTCCTCGACTCTATAAACACATTGGAACTCGTTTTCTTAGATTCTGCGATTGGATGCGCCAAAATCTGCGTAAAACTTGCCGACGCTTCGTGTTTCACCACGTCAGAATCACATCGGTGCTCGTCCCCGCAGAAGAGTACCCACCAACTTAATTAATCACATAAAAGATAACCAACATTTATCTTACGATTTCATTTCTTCTATTGTTGGAAATCCGAATCTTACATTCGTCAACTCGTGAGCTGGCCAACAACTGCACCAAACCACAATCAGTAGCAACAACAACGACACACACCAGATATTAATACCCGGAAACAAATGCGTCGAGGATCTTACCGTGAAAATGTTCGGGGAAGGAGGGACACGTCACGGTGAAGCGGGAGATATCGGAGATGTCGTGATAGTCTGAAGCCGTACGTACTGCATTCAACAGCCATGCTTTACTCCCTTCGATCACTACCTGTCCCCCCAACGACGTGCACGCATGTCGCACACCCTAGCCGATCCTTCACGTGGTCTTCTTCCATGGCCCGTACGTCTTGCGATGCCGTCGGTCACCGGTCTATCCCACAACTGTTCCCTCCTCTCATTAATGTCTTCCTCGCCCCGAGCCAAAGCAAACCAGCAGTGCACGTCGAGGTTACGTCGTCTCCCGGGTCTTCACTTTGGCTGGGGCAATCCATCCGGTCTTCTCATTCATCTCACCAAAGCGGATATCGGAGAAAAGGACATAATGTGTGACTCCCAGTATTTAATCCTTGTCTGAAACACACAATAGGCTAGGATTTGTCACCATGATTGTTGTCGTGGCTGTTACGTAGCTTTTACGAGTATCTCCGGAGAAGCAAGAAAACAGTGAATGCTTGGACCACAATAATTGGACACAACGAATCTGGGCACTCACACGCGTGCTGCTTCTGCTACGCCTCACTGGAGTTCGATCGGATTAGATTTGGATGGGATCCACAGGTACCATCTCCTCACTCTGACATGCTGCTGCTCTCTTTTCCCTGCGTTGATGTTCCATGAGCTTGCACCGTGCTGGTGGAGCAAGAGACAGTACGCCATAGCTGTGCACTCGCTAGTGGAGCTCCGTCTCGTGGGCCCTCCGTCCTCCTCCCTCGTCCCAAACAGCATTTATGGCGTTTTCGGACCACAAGCATCACGGCGGGGCTCGCGTGACGACGACCCGCCGAGACAAGGACCGCTCCCAGCCGAGCCTTACGGTAAACCACTCCACGGCCGTGGTGATTTCGATCGGACGGTCCTTAATCAAGACCGATGATAAAGCGAGGCTCATGTGACATGACATGACTCCACCAACTCCTTTTTCATCTTAGGCTATAAAAGTAATAACACGCTTCCACCGACTTATCTTAACAGTTATTCCCGCGGCCCCAGGCCCAATCTCAACCGTACGAACCACCATCAATTCTGAACGATAACAACGCTACACAATCCCCAACGAACGTCGACCCGCATTATTTACCTTTCTGATGATTGGATCGAAACTGTGAAGCCCACAAAGAACACTTACCATCGACCCGGGTCTTTTACCTTTCTACTGATTGGATAGAAACTGTGAAGCCCACATAGTTACGCTCCGAAGGTGAGGATTTTGAATTCACTAACTGCCTTTGTCGTGTGGAGGAGATAGAACGTGTCTGCTGTCGGGACAAGCGCAGGTCTGATAGATCGATCCCTCTCCCTCCTCCACGTGTCCACCACCACCTACTACACGCCTCCCGAAAAACCGCTTGCTTAACTCTGCCTCCGTCATCCCGACGCCGCTGCAGCGGAACCGAAACCATCCCACCCGTCATCGCCTCAACCCCCCCGAAACGCCGTCAGTTATAGATATTTTATAATCGCGGTTAGTTAATAACCCAACCCCGGTCACCCCCTTCCCCTTTATATGCCATGTAGCGCAGTGGAAACTGGAGAGCGAGAGAAGACAACAGGAGTGGCGCTGGAGAGAGACGACGACGATGATGATGATCGGGCGAGGTGTCACCCTTCACAATCCGACGGTCCACGTGCCACCCTGGTCCTCTTTCGATGATCCGATGGCCGGCGACGGCCTCCCCGACGAGGCCACGCTCGCGGCGCTGCAGCTCTACCTCCGCCGCGAGGAGGAGGCGGGGGAGGACAACGCTCGGTTGGTGGACGCGTACGCATCGGACGAGTTCCGGATGTACGAGTTCAAGGTGCGGCGGTGCGCCCGGGGGCGCGCCCACGACTGGACCGAGTGCCCCTTCGCTCACCCGGCGGAGAAAGCCCGCCGTCGCGACCCTCGGAAGCACCGATACTCCGGCTCCCCCTGTCCGGACTTCCGCAAGGCCAGTGGGTGCAAGCGCGGCGACGTATGCGATCTTGCCCACGGGGTGTTCGAGTGCTGGCTCCACCCCGATCGCTACCGCACCCAGCCCTGCAAAGACGGAACCGCCTGCCGCCGCCGCGTTTGCTTCTTCGCCCATACCCCCGATCAGCTCCGTGTGGTGCCTCCACACCATCAGCAGAGCTCGCCGACGGCAGCAGCCGCTGGCGTCGACTCCTACGACGGGTTGCCTCTTCACCAGCAGTCGTTCATGCAGCCTTATCTTCCCAAGAATCTTGTCTCCTCGCCAACGTCGGTGCGGATCTCGCCGCCCAACTCCCCGCCGACGGAGTCGCCGCCGATATCACCCAACGGCGCGCAGCTGGGTTCATGGCATGCTGGCTCGTCGGTGAACGAGATCGTGGCGTCGCTGAGGCAGTTACAGCTCAGCAGGGCCAAGTCGGCGCCAAGCTCCTGGGGGTTGCAGGTGGGTAGCGGTGGGTTTGCCTCGCCAAGCGCGTTTGCAGGATTTAATGCTGGCTTCTGCAGCCTGCCATCGACTCCGACGGCTAGTACGATGATATGTGGCGATGCCAGGTGGCTGGAGGAAGTGGAGCCGGCGGAGAGGGTGGAGTCCGGGAGGGCTCTGAGGGCGAAGATGTTCGAGAGGCTGAGTAAAGAGAACATTTTTGAGAAGGCAGAGGCCGCGCCGGACGTCGGGTGGGTGTCAGAGTTGCTGCAGTAGCAGAAAGATGCTAATGGCAAAGTGAAGGGTCAAAAAGTGATGAAGATTTGAAGGAAGAAAAATATGCTATTATCCTCAATTCTTTCTTGAATTGTTGCCAACGTTGGGATCTCCGAGGTCAAAAAAAAAAGAAGAAAAAAAAAAGTTGTCTCCTGTTGTATATATATATATATATGAAGAGTAGCGGAGGGTTGGATCAGATTTGGGTTAGAGAATGAGGAATTCAATAACTATTATGCTGCTTCTGCCGTACCAGGAAGGGTTGAATGAGTGCTGAAGACTTCTAGAGGAGGAAGCAGCATTCTGCGGAAACTGCATTATTTGGGTCATCGACGTCTTGCTTTTTCTTGTCATTCTGGTTATGCTGGATGTCCAGTTTGAAATATTGGACCTGTAAATAGGGTGTTATAGTAGCATCTCTGTCACCATGTTGACATTGTGTATCTTAAGTTTCCATCCAGTGGATTTCAGATGTTTCTTTTCATAAGCGGTTCTTTTCTTGCTTCGTAAATGTTTGCGGTGGGCGTGGATGGATGGACTTGGTTTATCGCAAAACCTCACGATTGAGACCCTCCGATGTGAACCTTTGCATTACAATGTTGAAAGTTTGCAATCGTGCCCGGTTGATGCCAGGAGATCAGATGGCGACATGAATTCGCTAGTCCCCCAAGAACAGGAACATCTCCTCTTTCGCTTGCTGTCGAGTTATCCGTTGACCGCTTCATCGGTGCACCGATTGGCATGGTTTAGGGATAACACATAGAGGTGCTTTGGTTGTTATCGGTGTCGCCAGAGAATTTGTTAACAGCGAGACTCTTATCACGAGATCAGAGATGTTTGGCCTGTGAGAGACGGGCTGGCTGTGTGTCGATTGCCTCGTATTGCAAAGCTCGATGCGATCTATTGACTGACTATTTTAGTGGTTCATGTGAGATGCGGTAAGATGTTTGGCATCGGAGAGACACGGTGCGTCGCCTCGTGTCTGCTCGAGCAATGAGAGGCCTGGAAGACGAGCATCGAGTGGACTAGGTGGTAGAACCTGGAGCTGGATGTATCGGCACGATGCCGGAGGGTGCCTACTTTTGGGTTTGCTATGACAGACATGGTATAGCATAGCATGCACGGATGTCTCTCACTATCGGAGTTGGTGCGTTCCGGTTGGAGACCGGTAGGTGGGAAGTCGTGTTTGATACAGAAGAGACAGCTTTTCTTTAATCTTCCTCCTGATATTAAGCAGAGACACAAGGGTGGGGAGGGGGGTTTAGGTCTCCGGTGGTTCTAACGCGGCAGCAGCTTCGGAGCAACAAAGACGATGATTTCCTCGGGAAACTTTTCTCCTCTCGCCTGGCGCAATGATGAAAGCTGATATACGATGAATTGATTGATATGACTGCTTTGAGAAAAAGAGAGCAGAAAAGTTAGGAAGAGAAGCCGCCGCGGAAATGTGCCTCTGAACTCCATACTAATTACCGCACTGGATCAAAGACTAATTAAGCACCGCTAATTTTCCTGAGCTGAACGGTATCCTCCTCCGATTCACGCGGTCAAGGCGTTGCACCCTTCGCGAAAGCTGAGTCACAGAGACACGGACGGGATGGGACGGAGATGGAGGAAAAGAGCGGGGGGTGGTGGGGGGGGAAAGATAAGGGCGTGGGTCCCACGCACCCGGCGTAAGAGAAATGTGGACGTGCTTGTCCATCCCGTGGATGCTATCCACTCCAGCGTGGAATTCCCCATCAGCTACCTGCGTGACAAGATGTCGTACGGGTAAAGATCAGCTGACAGGCCGCGCAAAATGGTATCTTTCGGAGATGTGTCATCTTTCCCCCCCCCCCTCGGACGAGCTTATCCACTATCTCCTGGTCAACAAATCTGCGGTAAGGAAAGAGGGAGGAGGACATGGGTTGGGTTGTGGATTGAAATCACAATAGTTCCATGTCGTACGTTGGAAAAAACACTAGCTCGGTGGTGCGTGGTTGCCCAACAACCGGCCTTCGTCCTAAAGTGGAGCTCTGTTGCCTGAAACCCAGACCAAGATTTATCTGATTCATATCGTCGGGAGCCCAATATCTATACACGATGAGGTCAAACCTTACCGAGCTGCGGTTCTATTGATTAACCTGTTCCTCCGCTTGCTTCTTCTTCCGGGATCGATGATTAAGAGACGGAATAAACGCATGAGAGGAACTGATGGATATAATGGACGGGGACCCCTCACCAAGTATTATTCTGATGGTTACGTCCCAAGACCACATCCGGTGTTCCTCATCCCCCTTCTTCTGGTCGCAGCATCTGTCACATTTCCACCCCCATTATCCGCAATAGTTGCATATATAGTTACATGCCATCAGATCCAACTATTTTAGGATTCTTCTCTCCGTCTTCTCGTCCTTTTTGCTCTTCTCAGACACTGGAGGCGATATGGAACGGTGATTCTGCGAGCAGCTGAAGTCTAAAGTGGTAGTGTCAACTCAGCTCGGCTAGTGGAATCATCCGACGGTCACCCATCCTTGCGCCTGTGGCTTTTTTCAGGGCTTCGTCTTCCCTTGCTCCAGCCATATGTTTTACCATGCATCCCCTTTCACCACCGGCCGAATCCGCAGGTCTCGTCTCTAACAGGACTACTACAATTGGAGCCTTCGTTTCTCCGTCGGCTTCGTATGGTCTTCTTACGGGGGTCGGTCTCTTGAGATGACGGTGGCCGTTGTCCTCATCCGGAAATCATTCCGGTGTCAGCCTCAAGCAGGCCTGCCCTGTTGGCTTTCACCGAAGCGACTCTCACCGCCTTTGATACGACCACTCGGCTCACTGCAGCCTCCACAGGAGCACAGGAAGTGAGCTGAAAGGGAAACGCAAGGGAGATCACGCAAGGTCACTCCCGAAAGACAGGGATGGGAAGGAAAAAGAAAACCAGAACTCGGGCGAAAGGACCATCTCACCGACAGGCTCTGACCACGGATCATCACACCATTTATTGAGCTCTCATCTCGACGTTCAAGTTCATGCACGCATGCACGTGTGGGTGTATGACGTGGGCCTTCTGGGTTGCAGAGACATGTATGAGTGGCAAAGCCCAATGCCATTTCACGCTACATCTTTCTTTTCTCTCTCTGCTATGCGGGGAGCATGTTCATTAATTGCTGTACATGAAGTAATGTCGCATCGAACCAACCAAAAATTGAGTCTGTGTCACAGAATTGAGTCTCCGGTATGAATTTATTATGCTCATGGTCTTCTTGAGTTTTACGGCATTCTGTGGAGATCACCAAATGCTTCAGGCAACCTTAATAATCACAACTGTAAAGTTCCCTAAGAGCCGATCTTGCCTTATCGGAGACAAGAGGCTTAACCTGTTTGGCTGACAGCTCATATTCAGCCCAATATGAGTTTTATCAATTCGCATCTCATCTCTTCTTAATCTAATCCTAATTAATATTAGGGAGAGATGTGATGATTGTTAAAGACTGTATAAATAGGACAGTAACGAGAGTAGCAAGTGGAGAGATCTTCGCAGCAGAAAAGAGGAGAAAAAAAAAACAGAAAAATAAAAGAAAGAAAGGGAATAAAACAATGACAACACAGAGAGACTGTTCTCGATCATCTAGCAGTGTTCTCATCTCAAGTTAGATCAAATCTACAGTAGACTCTTGATATGATTACTTGGGGAGGTTTTAGATATTGTGGACAGTGACGTGATTCTTGTATCCCAATTATTCTCTTGTAATTGTTATTAGAGTTTAGGGCAAGAGATTGAAATTTATATATTCATTATTCTTATAGTGAATTATCTCATGTGATTTTTACCTTTCGTATTGGAGAGATTTTCCACGTATATCTTGGTGTTCTATTTGATTATAATTTTATTTAATTATGTTATATATCATGATCTGCTAGTATTTGTTCATATATAAAAATTATTCCGTTTTATCCGGAGAAAGCACTCGCCCTTTCAATTCGCGCAAAGGTACGTGTGGGAACGGACTCAAAATTGACTCAGACTTGGGCCCAATAAACCGGATCATTGCCTCACTGAACCGGTCCAAGTCGCGTGAGAAGCCCTCGCGCACCTCTGGCCGCCGCTGCGTTGCTCACCGTGTGGCCCCCCATCGCGCGCCTGCGGGTGCGTTTTCACGCCGCGGTCCTCACCGCAACCCGCGCCGCTCGCCGCCTGCCCGTGGGCCTGCGTTGCTCGCCGCAACCGCACACAGCCGCCTGCGTTGCCCGCGGTCCTCACCACAACCCACGCCGCTCACCGCGGCCTTTATTGCTGCCGGCGCCTGCGCCGCTGCCCGCATTCCTTACCGCATGTTCATTTCATATAACACCACATCCAAATTAGTCCTTAACACAACCAAGAAAGAAATGTGAATATGAGGAACAGCTCATCGTGCAAGATCGTTGGAACGAAATCAATTAAATTCAAGAGATATGGCTGCTATGGCAAAAGAGGACTTTCGAAAGTAAGAAAAGAGTCTCTTAGGGGATGTGATCGTCTTCTACTACTGTTTCGCTACTGTTGACTTCGAGGTTCAACAGTAGTAGGGCCCATCACTGACAAAAGAGGACTTTTGAAAGCAAGAAAGGAGCTCACTGTATACTTTTCATTGATGACTTAGTCGATGAAGGTTTTGTTAAACACAAGACTAATATTTTTGAAAATTTTTAGTTATAAAAAAAATATAGTGGAGGAACAAATCGAAAAGTATGTTTTGACACTTCATACCTTGAAATTTTGTAACGATGAATTTACTATTTATTGAGTAAAGGAAGGAAGCATTCGTAAACATACAGTGTCTCACACTCAACACGATAGTTGAAAGAATAAACTGTACCATCATAGAAATAGTATGTCATTCTAGACTGAGTCAAAATCGTTGCTATCATTTGTCATTGAATTCAAGATACTAAAACAAAAATGAAGGAGCTTCTTTACCTCTTATTCACACTCGTGGGCCCCCCCGGACATGAATGAATCTAAGCTAACGCCGACAGCGTGTTCTTCGTACCCCAATCTGCCCTCACAATCACCTGTTATTGGTCAATTACTTGCTCATAAATAAATATACACACTCGGATATCATTTCAAACCTTCATTTCAATTGCCTACGCTGTAACTTCCTCGCGTCGACTCCACCGCACTGCAGATTAATCCGTTGGGTCGTCATCGTCGTCGTCGTCGTCGACGACGACGACGAGGGAGCAAAAAAGATGCAGGACATGACAAAGAGTAATAAGGGGACTTAATTAACACATCAACCAACTTGATGGACTCTCTCGATCTTCCACACCGTTCTCCCTCCCCTCGTTGTACTCTTTAACCTATGATTTCGAAATTCAAAAACATTAATCTTTGATCACCGCGGTGTGCATCCATCCTTCCACAGCGTTGACTGGGTCCACGTAAATCCTGTCTCTTTTTCTTCACCACGGACGTGGACCAACGATGCCTACCTTGTCTTCATTTAGTTACCATCCTCTCACAGTCCAGACCAGATCAGAGCAGCCGCTGTTTGCTAGTCTCTTCACCACTCGTCTTCTGTTTCCGGCCGGAGGCGAGCTTGGGTCTGCTTCTCTGTCGGTTCTGGTGGCAGGTGAGGTGATGGGCAGAACTCCGTGCTGCGACAAGGCGCAGGTGAAGAGAGGGCCATGGTCTCCGGAGGAGGACATGGTTCTCAAGAAGTATATAGAGGGTCATGGAACCGGTGGAAACTGGATTGCCTTGCCCCAGAAAGCAGGTTCCTCACCGCCCTGCCCTTTGAGCATTTAACCCATCCACTGTGTCTGCTGCTCTCTTTGGCTACTTTAGATATGAAATCACCAATGGCAAATACATCTCTTGGTTTACCAGATTTTATCGTGAATTTGCTCATATTCCTCCATCTATTTCTCTGATTCTTGGGTTCGGTTCGAACAAACGGAAACCCACAACTCTCAGGTCTCAAACGTTGCGGCAAAAGCTGCCGCTTGAGGTGGCTCAATTACCTCAGGCCCGACATCAAGCACGGAGGCTTCACCGATGAAGAGGACGACATCATTTGCGGTCTCTACAACAACATCGGAAGCAGGCATCTTCGACTTTTCTCCTTTCCTCTTCCTCTAAATTATGACTCGGTTTCCCTGTTTCCACTTTCTTGAGCGCTTCTTGGCAACTCATTAATCTGTACTAGGTGGTCCGTTATAGCTTCGCAGTTGCCGGGCAGAACCGATAACGATATCAAGAACTACTGGAACACTAAGCTGAAGAAGAGGAGGACGATGGCGATGGCGGCAGCTCAAGCACCCAGCTCAAACAACACCACCTCCATCGACACCATCGTCGACCGAATCAATGACTTTCCTCGACCGCCACCGCCATCGACATCTCCTGTAGTCATCCCAATCGTAAAGGACGAAACATACACCTGCGATGACTTTCTGAAACCTGTAGTCCCAAGTCCTCCAGTGTCAGCAACGACCGACACTGGACTTGGCTTCGGTCGCTACGATTCTCCTCCGGTGGTCGCAGGACTCGCTGGTCCCCCCAGGGTTCAGCTAAACGCGTCCGACGCTTCCTCTCTGGTTACCGTGGACGACGGCAGCCTCTATTCCGACTGGTGGACTAATGGATCGGGTGATACCGATGAGTTCTTCCTGGAGTTTGGTGGCGAAGTCCCCATGGAATTCTTGACTAGTTCCTCTGACGCCTCATTCTTCGATACCGAAACCAGATCGCAGGTCACGTAGCCCTCGTGCTACTACGTTCCGGCAGAGTATTGTGTTCTGGCTTTTCCCGTCGAAAGCCCGTGCATCATAAAGAAGGAATGGCAGACTAACAGCGGCATTAGCTTCCCGGACACCATCATGTTGCTAAACTTGATCTTGTATTATCTATACTCCCCTCCTTCATAGGTCATCCAGATCTGTGGCCATCTATATTGTTCAAAAGAATTATGTTGCACTCGATCTTGCTCTTGACATCGCTGATGAGATACGCAGAGGCATGATGACACCTTCCTGTTACATAAACAAAACAGGAGTATTAATCGAGTAATTACAACTTATAAACGTGTTTCTTTTGTCATCGATCGGTGATGCGAAGAGCAGATGAGCGTCGGCAAGACTCTTTCGACTGTTCCAACTGAGGTCATCAAACTCGCGTGAGCTCAAAGCGAAAAAGCTTTTGCCATATATATGTTCACCTGTTTCTACAATTTCGAGAAGTTCTCATAGCTTCTTCAGCACATCTCTTGATCGGTTGCTTTTCCGAAGGAGAAGGAACATTAATTTGTCAGATGCCGCCTTTTTCTTGCATCCACACTTGTCAGCGAATCAATTTCGAAGAACCTTCGGTCACGCATTGCACTTGTCGAAGCCATCACTTTAGTCAGCCGCCATGACCACTTGTCTAACATAATACGTAAACAGAGCTGGACATAGATCTCGATCATATCACAGTAAAGACATCACTCCCCTCTGTTTTCTCTCTCTCTCTCTGATCGTTGGCCTGCCCACTCTACCGACTTCAAGAGAGAGAGAGAGATGAGATCATGCACTGTGCTGTCGTGAGAAATAACTCGAAGAATTGACTTGCAGAGATTTCTGTGGCTGTAGTAAAAAGAATGGAGTTGTATATAATCTTGACCACGGCGGCTGATGTTACTCTTCTATGACAGGGAACAGTAGACAAGTTCGAGAGCAACTTGTAGGATGTTGGATCCAGTCACAAGATGAGAGCAGACAAGGAAACTAAATTGCAAAGTTACGATAATTCATTTAGACCATCGCTCTCGCATTAAAACTCTCCCGGGAATTATCATTCCCTGTAAGACTTTTGCGTCGATCCATATCTCGAGTCTCTCCCGCATGGGCTGAAAAGTCATGCACTCTGACCTTGCGACCCTCACCTCCGTCCCCTGCTTCCCGGTAGTTTCTTGGCTTTTGGAATATACCACGCTCCCGTAAGAGGCGTAGACAGGGAGGTTGCTCTTCAGAAAAGGCTGGCCGTCTTTTGGAAAGTTCTTCGCCTGTGAGGGCCATATGGTTGATATATTATATTATATTATTGCTATGGAAAAGTTTGATACTGTTCACTCTCTCCAGCCGCCAGCAGAGATTTATTGCCTGTCCTGACTTTTCAAAATGCCCATCCTCCTTACTGATATTAATATTATAATCCAAAACATTATATCGTATTAATGACTGACGGTGTCTCCTAGTTTTTTCAATCATCTCCCGACTGATATTTTAGTAGAAATTATATTTTCGTATTAATGATAATATTATACGATTTTATCATCTTTTTCTATGAACAGTAGATCGAGATATCACTCCTTATCTAACCAAAAAGGTAAAAGAGTTAATCCAAAGACATCTTAACAATCCGTTGAACGTGTTAAATGGCACACGCTAAGAAGTTGTCCTTATTAATGCTTTCACTATATATGATAAGAGCGTCTTAGCTAACACACGTCTATGTTGCTCGACACCAAAATATTAAAAATCAGGTCATAAACCAACACAAAAGAGAAAAGCAAAAATCATATATTTTCTCATTTACATTGCTCATATTGTTATCTTCCTTTTTTTCATCTTTCACTGATTTAAATATCCGAAGAATTGAGTCGAGACATTTGACACAAACCAATTGTGTAAAACCCCCTGGTACCATATCGAGATGTGACTAAGAGATGACTCAACAATTAGGAAAATCCAGTTCTCTTACTTGATTTCACCATCTCTCCCAAACAAACTCTCTATATCGACTAATTACGTCAACTCTCCTGACAATAAGGAGGAGTCATAAAAAAGAACTTGTATCAGATCGACTCATCAAAAAGAACCTGCTATCGCAAATGATGGTGCCAAAGCTCAAAGCTCCCCTTTGACTCCATCACAACATCAGCATACAAATCTATGACGTTTAGGATTGAGTTGTTGTATTGCCCTCCAATTTTCTTTTTGGATTGATCCACCATGGCCGATGGCCTTACAACAAATACAATATTTGTTGTCCCGCTTGATAGAGAATTCATAATCTGAAAAAACGATAAGAGTACCACCATCACATTTAGGATTCTAAGAACCATCGTGATATGATTTGATCCAACCAAGAGCTACAACGCGGTAAGTATAAGTCCAAACACTTCCCTCGGCTTCATCATTGTTAATCAACTTAACATAGCCATTGCTACCGATTTGATGTCTTACGTTGTAGCTCGCATGATCGTACCACAACATGTCATAATAGATCTATGACCAATCATGCTTATAGCTTTTTGGTCCTCCTCGATCTCGACCACTTTTAGATCACGATTTGCACGTTGATGAAGATGGACAACTCAGCTATCACTTTTCTGTCCCGCCATTTTCTTATTTATAATCTTATTTATTTATTTTTATTTAAGCAAATGCTGTCCATCCCATCCTCTTTTTCTCCTCTCGGTATAAAATAAAAGCGAGAAAGGTCGGAGAGTAAGTCGTCGGAGAGCTCCAGATCGAATCCGTCTCCGCTGGGTTTGGGTTCGGGTTCGGGTTCGGGTTCGGGTTGGCGTTGTTGCTCCCCGATGGGGCTCTTCCGATCGCTTCTCCTCCTCCTCCTCCTCGCCCTCTCCGCTGTCGCCTCCGCCGCTCCCTTCCACTCCCTCCTCCGCGCCGTCCCCGAAGACCCCGCCCCCGGCCGCTCCACCGACGGCGAAGGAGTCGCCGATCGCCTTTTCTGCGATAGCTGGAGGCTGTCGGTGGAGACCAACGACGCCGGGTATTGGCGGACTATCCCTCAGAAATGCCTCAAATTCGTAGAGGACTACGTGAACGGGGATCGCTACGCGTCGGATTTCGACGTGATCTCCAGCGAGTCACTGTCCTTCGCCGAGACTGTCCCGATCGCCGGCGATGGGAAGGACGTCTGGATCTTTGACATCGACGAGACGCTGCTTTCCAACGTCCCGTATTACGCCATCAACGGATACGGGTAATTCCCTTCCTGTTCCATTTAGATGAACTTTTCCTTTAATCCCTAAAAAAAGGGTTAAATTCTGCTAATTAATTTGCATCTCGATGCCTCTCTCGTTGAGAACGGAGATCAGTCCGTGTCGAGATTCATCTTATATTAGTCGAAAGCATGGGCTGTTCTTGGATGTGATGTGGTTTTCATTTTATAACCAGCACGTTTGTGTTTGCCAATAATCTAATGGCTCCGAAGCTACTTGGTACCAATGCTCCTTATTTGGTTGTTGCTTCCGCTAGGATGTTCCCCCCATTTTATATGGGAGTGGATGCGGAGCTCATTTAATTCACGAAAGTCAACTGCTTCCACGAATGCAAATAAGTTTGAAGTGAAGAAGATAAAGACGATGATGATCTGTTGTTATGCTTTAGTTTAGATGGTGGTGCAGCTAACAATTGCAATTTGACAAGCAAATTATTTTCAAGGTTTAGATTACCGTGGACCAATCGAAGAAATAGGTTTAGACTAATGATAAGGCTTGAGCCTTAAATTGGTATCGGTACAGCTCTATCGTTATGTACGTCAGGTCTAGCCATGCTATCTGACCCTACTTGGTTCAGTTTAACCTGATTATCCAATCAAATAGGTTATAGTAATCTTGATGGTGAGTTGTTCTGAGTAGACCCAGAGGAAAGGGCTACCATGGCGATGCCCAGAATAACGAGTCCAACATCATGCACTTTGATTACCTGAATAGAGAAGAAATTAGGGGTGTACACATAGAACCTAATGTGAACTATGAAAGAATGAATATGTATATAAGAATTTCATAGTCCACTACTGTTATCTTGAATTTAAGCATTAGGGCCTAGGCATACTTCATAAAAGACATTGGCCTACTAGATTACATATGAATGCTGCCTCACAATTATGCAACATGTCAGCGGGCAATGTTGTAAACAGCAAAGAGAATTGTGGATGAAAGACTTATCTCGAATGTTTGTAGTGGTTTGCAAATCATGTATGCAGAAGTTTGGTATCTAAATTTTAGTACGATGAATTATATTAGTTGTAATTGTAATATGCAAATTATATGTTTTCTTATATATATTCAGTACCTGAAGAGTTTGTTCATTTTTCACTTTTAACCACTGCAGTTTATAGTTCAGTTGACTTAGTTCTTATGCTTTGTCAATACTTTTTAGATCTGAGGTTTTCAATGAAACTTCATTTGATGAATGGGTGGACTTGGCGAGGGCACCAGCTTTACCAGCAAGTCTAAGGTTGTACGAGGAGCTTATTGGGCTTGGATTTCAGATGGTACTTCTGACCGGTCGAAGCGAGAACCAAAGAAATTCCACTGAGAATAATCTACTGTATGCTGGTTATCATTCCTGGATAACACTTATTTTGAGGTGCATTTACTTCCTATATCTTTGCTTTGAACAGTTGGTACTGTATTTCATTCCACATAAGCACAATAATAACAGTAAAAATGCTTTGGTCAGTGCAAACCAACTATTTGCAAACTCATTCTTTTTTTTTTTTTCAAATCTAATTGTTGATGAATTTAGTTAGGTTGCCATTGAGCATTCCTGTAAAGAGTTTGGTTGCTGCTCAATGTTAATTTTCTGACATCTATAGTTTGACTTGTTAAGTGGTTTTTCCTACTTTTCCTGTTTCCTCTTTGGCAAGATTTATCCACATAAAAGTATGTTATAACTAGATTTATTTTTCCACGAGTTTCCACTTGCTGCAATAATGATTAAGAGATTAAACATGCAATAGATATGAGGTCTGAAGCTTCACTCTAGGGAATCACCATATGCTGAAACAACCCTGAATGTGACGAAAATCTCACAAGATGTTTAAATTTCTGGAATTCAACCTGTTTTTTCGTACCATTTTCTATAGCATATGAACTTGTTATCACATCGGTGTGACTAGAAAATGAATTGAACATCATAACTAAATGCTATCACTTGCTTGTTTGTAAATTTCTATGTTATTCTTTCTGCATGCTGCCTCAAATGCTATTGCTGTGTAATGGGAGCACTGAGCATCTAACTTGAGCATTACCGACACAAAATTACAAACGCATTTACGGATACCTTGAAATCCAGGCCTCAAAATCAGGTCGAGGCAATCCAAATCACGTCTCATACGGATGCCTTCATTTTTTTCTCATTTCAATGCAAAATACACTTTTTATTAAACATTTTCAACAGAAGATCATCTATCAATTAATACTACCTCTGGCTCTTGGATCATATAAAGAACTATTTTTGCACGCCAGCTTCATATCTAGGCAAATATATCTCTGTTCCTTTAGTGCCCTTTTAGCCGTTTATCCACTTTGTTTTTCCGCTGCCTTGTTTGTCTAAAACCTGTCATTTTTTAATTTAATAGAATCCAAGGCATCAGTGGTTAATGGGTTACATTTAGCCAGATGAATCATCATCAGCAACATTTCTGCCCTAGAAAATTTGAACCCTGATTTATGCATTGTCATGTTTGACATGTCAAGCTCTTTCTGCTGAGAGTCTGTTTCAGTAATATAATAAGATTGCATGGATCAGACATAAGAAAACAAGTCTGTTTTTGCAAATTGAGCACTGCTGTATGGATTGCTTTTCGATTAGATCAAGCCAAACTCTGGTTTTGTGAGTTGGTCAGCATGAATGGTTGTTGTACTTTTTCCAGGAGTTGCCACAGATAATAAAGTTCTTGAAAGCCATGAGGCCTCCTACCTTATTGACAAGATGGAAAACTTGTTCATGGGGTTAAAAAATTTAACAAACAGAAAACTGGTTAATTTCAGATTCTGCACACAATTAACTTTTTTAGCTGTGTTTTCGGTTTTCTAGAAAGACTTCTTCCTATGTTAAATTTGCATTATTTTTAATTATTTAGTTATACCTAAACTAGCATAAGCAGGAATTCTTCACATAAACGTTTTTATTTTAGACCATGAATTATAGTTGTCTGGATATCATATTTCATGTATTTTTTTTTAATAAGTCCCATATTTAAATTCCTGTGAGAATGTGGAAATTTAAACCAACCTTCCGCTTCTGCATATGTGGTTAATTGTGCTGAAGTACTCGACCCACTCAAGTGTGTAGTCTATATATCTTCTATAAATGCAAATATGGAGTTTTTATCGCATATACTTGAATGCCTGGATCTTATTTAGCTTTCTACATCACTGCTAGTAGTCAAAATAACACTGAAATTCAATTTAGAGCATAAACAACAGTGCTGATCCATTATTTTGAGTTTACTACGATCATTGGTGTAAGATCTTTTGTTCTTCAAACGTTCCTTGATCTCCTAAATCGTCATAAAGGATTTCTAGAACACACATTTATTTGCACTGTAACGCACATGGATTTTTTATGTATCTGCTAATAGATGGTGAAATGATGAAACAGGCAAACCTCTGACCTTGGAAAGCCTGCGCTGGTATATAAATCAGAAAGGCGGGCGGCCTTGGAAGCGCAAGGATTCAGGATCCATGGCAGCTCGGGGGATCAGTGGAGTGATTTGTTGGGTTTGCCGTTAGCCAAGAGATCCTTCAAACTCCCTAATCCCATGTACTACGTTGATTGATGTATATAATCTGCCGTGCTTCTTTGGGCATTGGTCAAACTCATGTGCCTTTGTATGGGAAAGTCTTTCTGAATTGTATTCCACAACGCCAATTGATGGTTTTCTAAGACATGATTCTGGATGTTTTGACATGTCAACTACTAAGTGTTTACATGTCTATCTTTGCAGTTTTAAAATGACATATTTGCCCTCTCTCTATATATATAGAGGGCAAATATGTCATTATATATATATATATAATTAAGATTAGAGCTATCCCTGAATATATATATATATATATATATATATATATATATATATATATCTCTACTACTACCTACCTAC